ATAAACGTGATGGAAGCGAGTTCTTGAGCCATTTGGATTTGGATCGGTGTTTCAGCTGGGACAATGAGACAATTCGGCCAGAAAAGAAGTATGTGGAAAGCCTTATAAGTAAGAGCGTTGTGAGTCTTTCAAATAACCATGGTTCAGTGGACGAGGAATTTCAGCGGATTGTCATGGGTGCAGTCTCTACCTCGATCAACCGAAATCCCAAAAGGGGCCAAATACGAAGTGTCTTTGTGGCAGCCAGGGTAGGTTTCCTTCTCTCCTGACAAATATTTCTTCCGGTATTAACGAATTGGTGAAATATTTAGATGTCGTGGATTATGCCCCTATTGATCTCGGTGGGTTCTTTTTTTTTTAAAAAAAAAAATCTTGGCTGTGTGTACCCTACTAACATCAGGCCTGCAGTTGGGACAGTTTATAACGATGACGGTGTGCTGAGTTGTTTTGGTATCAAGGGCGAACGCGGGCTATGGGTTAGTTACTAGTAATGTAACAGCCATACCTCTTTTATCCAGTACCGAGTTGATACCTTGCAGGGGAAAGAATGATAGGTGCTGTATTGACTAGTTAGATCATTATTATGTTCTGGTTAACTTGTATTACTTTGCTTTTTTATGTCCCCTATACCTGTAATACTACCAATCTTGAATCTTTTGGAAACTCCCTGGACAGCTCTAGAGTTTAATACACTAAAAAGTACCTTTTTATAAAGAAAAGTTTAAACGCGTATTATCCAATCAACGTATGGTTTTAAGACTAGAATAGATTATAAGAAATTAAATTGGTTAACCAATCACAGTATCTACTATAGAATCAAACTATAATAAAGATATTAACATTATCCTTACCTGACTTGCTCAGTTTGCCCGACTTGCCCGCATTGTCTACTTTGCCCGACTAGAATACAGTGCCCCTGCCCTGATCCTGGGATGATGATGTGTTACTGTGCAACAGGAGGTCAGTCTTCCATCTTCATAATCGTGTTTTCTGATGTTAATGAATGTCTCAAAGACGCACCACGCGCCCAGCACGTCGTTAATCTCAGTAAGTTTCTTATCTTGACTGCGAATTTTGGATGCATGCTAGTGCTAATGAAAGAGCCATAGATAAGATAATCGGCGTTGACGGCGGAGAACTGGTTTGCTTTGACCTACATGGTTTTAGCAGAGAGTTGAAAACTCCTTTTAGCTGGGATGGCCAAAAGGGCAACAGTTCAACTTCCACTGAATGAGAGGAGGTCCTCCCACTACGGCAGGTTGAATACGAGTTATCCTTAGCATGAGTCAACCTTCTGCCCCACAGATATTAATTCATTGACTCATTTCCATAAAAACTGCGTTCCCGTCCTTTCGTACAAATATGTGCTGGTCATCCAAGATAATTGAGGTCTCGTAAGATGTCTAAACAAATCTTTTAAGTGAAACCAACAAAGCTGTCCGATACTAATCACTCTCACAATCGTGTTGTCTCCCAACAAATGAACACCGCAAATATCATCCACGACGCGTAAATAAAGACACAATGGCTACGAATAACGCAAACCCCCAACCCTTCCGAGCGATCCGTGCACAATCCACCCAATCCACGATCACAGTATACCAAGCCTTCTCCCGCGAAATCGCCGAACCCGCGCTGAGGGCCCAGAAATTCGTCCCCCCATTCTCCCGCACGCGCATGACCTGGATCAAGCCCTCATTCCTCTGGATGGCCTACCGCTGCGGCTGGGCCACCAAACCGAACCAAGAACGTGTTTTGGCGATCGAGATAACCCGCGAGGGCTTTGAATGGGCCCTGAAAAGATCCTGCCTCAGTCATGTCCCTGGTAGCCGGGACCAAGAGCAAGAGAAATGGCGTCAGCGTCTCCGCGAGAGTCCTGTCCGTGTACAGTGGGATCCGGAGCGAGATCTATGGCATCGGCCACTGGGGTATCGGTCTATTCAGATTGGGCTCAGTGGGGAGGCTGTTGAGCGATATGTTGATGAGTGGATCGTTTCGATCACAGACGTGACTGGTCTTATGACGGATGTCAAGAGGGCACTGGATAAGGGGGATGCTGAAGGAGCGGAAAGCCTTCTTCCGGTCGAATGTGTGTATCCTCTGTCGGAGGAGCTGCGGGACATATTGCATGCGACGTAATGCAGGACCGGGCGTTTGGTTGTTCTTCCGCTGGGTGTACTCGTAGTTGTTGGCATGTTTTGGCGGTGTCGTTGGCGTGCATAAGACCGTGTTTTGAAATTATTGTCGTCACTAGCAGGTCGGTCTGGAGGCTTCGTAGGTGGTGACAATAAGTGGAGCTTAATTGCCTTTACGACTTGAAGAAGAAAGTTATAAGATGTAGTATTACGCCCTTGCTGGCGAGAATTTCGACTTTAAATTCAAGGGATCTCCAATTCTAGTGGACAGGAGTAATAGATTACAGAGCCAAAAAAAAAAAAAGAACAGAGACAAATGAAACCACAAAGGTAAATTCTATAGAAAGTTCGCTATGACTTTAAATTCTAGAAAAAGTTTACAATCGTAGAAAGAGGCTACACATTGTAATTAGATAAAGCCATGGGCGTTACTAAAATCAAATGTATACTAATTTCGTGAGCTTCCATGCGACACAACAGCTACATCCGCCCGAGCTTTTCCACTACACAAGACTACACTATGCCAACCACTCGATGCCATAAAAGGTATTTCCCGATTAAATTAACGATGGATATCAGGGAGTCCAATAGTCTTCCGATACTCCTGCAATCTCGAGAGCACGTTGGTCCCGTTCCACAGTTCTCCCTCTCTATCGTTGCTCATCTCCGGCATTCCCACTTGCTCCAACGCCAAGGAAGCTCCAACGGAGCCATAACAACCTGCCTCGACTATACTGCCCGTCTGGAGATACCCAGCAGCAAATGCCCCGAGAAATGTATTACCAGCGCCAGTGGGATCGACTACCTTAGCGTCTGGTCTATTTCCTGGTCCATATCGATAGAACGGTGGTAGCCAGGTAGGAGACATATCGCGAGCTATGATGAAACAACCATGTTCACCTACCCGGACAATCACCGTACCCTTTCCGTTCGGTCCCACGCCGCTGTCCAAGAACCGCAGGGCCTGAGACTCAATCTTATGCTTGTCTGCAACGACTGGTCGCGATTGGCCAAATAGCGCGGCCAATTCTAGGTGATTTGGAGAGAACACATCGACCATACGTGCGGCGTCTAGACAACTTTGCAAATTATCCACTTTACACGAGAACGGAGCAGGTTCCCAGATAATCAAGGGGCGTTCTGACTCGCCTGCCTTCTGCCTAAGTGCAAGGAGGCTGGAGACACGGGACGTAATATTTTGAGGAGTTTCAAGATAATGATATGTCCGGGATGTCAGGAGTAGCGTGTTCTTCAGGCTGCTATCCTGAATTGCGAGGATGGGTGTTGTGTATTTGAACTCCTTGGCTAAAAGACTTGTTAGCTAGAGTCATCTATGTCGTAGACAAAACATCTATTAAGTTAATGATGAGAAGCGTCTGTCGGCCGTAGGGGAGGGGATCAATCAAATTTCAGTGAAGAAAGGTATGTCGCACGTCCAAATGTAGTATCTTTGTATTCAAGTAGACCTCTAGTTGAAGGTTCGTCTGATTCTCTTTCTATGATTAATGTCACGTCCCAGCTTTGCAAACGGTCTTCGATGGGTTTCGGAAAGTCATTTCCAACATGAATCATCCAGCCTAAGGAATGGTTTCGTGGATGAGGAAGAAACAGCCGGGCACCGAGCGTGGCTACGAATACCATCTCACATTAATAATTGACTAGTATGGGGTGAAAGCAGGAAACCCACCGTAAGCGCCAGAACCACCAAGGATATCAGTTAGTGGGTTTTTATGGGGAAGGCGGATCTCGTCGAGTACCACTAAGCCGAGGCTTGTGAAGGAAATGTCATGTATGTTCATGATGTCTGACGATCTAAGCTATCTGTGTAGGGAAAGCGAAGCAACAGAAAAGCTGTATAACTAAATTTAGTAATGTAATGATTTATGTATCATTTTAGAACATCTGTTTGGAAAATGTGGAGCAGGTTAATAATGAGTAAGGTAGATAAATAACCGGAAAATGGTCTCTGTGCCATTCCGCTTTCCTACTTCAGCCCTTTACCGGCAGAATCCAGCGTAAGAAATGGAAAACGATTAGGGTTAGAGATAGTCCACTATGTGAAGACACACTCGTGTCCACTCACCATACTCCAAAGAATACTAGTAAAACTATCAAATTTGTGTTTGATTTATATCAAAGAGGGTACGGAAGCTGGGCTAGTTTGGATCTACGATCAACATTTCTCTGTGTCCTGAAGGTGCTGGGGTGATTATATATAATGGCTGTGCTATATTAGTATTCTCAAACTCTCATATACCGTACTCTATTTCACAACTCTCTACATATTAGCTTTTCTGTTTTATTAGTCGATAAGCATCACAGAGGTATTCGAAACCATAACAGTATCTTCTGGCTGAGATGTCATGTAACCGTATACCAATCGGGTTAAACCTGTCTATGAGATATCGTTGGCCACGGCCTATATGCTACTGGGAAGAAAGCAACCTCGGTTCCACATCACGCAAGCCATTCCGAGATCATTAATTTTACAGCAAGGTATGCATACAGAGTGTAATGGGGGTGCATAGAGACGCGATCTTATCTAACCCTATTGAGGCACTTAAACAACTATGTATACTTTGAATGACTTTGTTTTGCTAGGTTATTTACGGAAAAAGAAGAAGGGAAAGGTGCCTAATTACGAAGTAGTATACTGTATAGAAGTCATTGTTCATGACATTCCCACATTGACAGTCGAGGGTTTTTCTAGTCACATAGCTGATGAGCACCACTGCCAGAATTAAACATCGGCTGAAAACAAGAATTCTAAAATATGATTCCAACGCGACGAGGAAAATGAAAAGAAAAACAAGTATAGCTCATACGATTGTTTAGCCAGTGCCAAAATGAAGAAAATAAAAAAAGTGCTCCCAGGCGGGATCGAACCGTCGACCTCCAAGAGACGCATACAACCTAGTACATTGTACAATGGTCATATAAGCTTGATGCTCTAAACCAACTGAGCTATGGGAGCTGGTTTTGGTACATGTCTCATTGTTAGTTTATAACACCAGCAAAGTTCATCACGACACTTCGTGATTCTGCTCATAATATCTTCCACCCGGTAGCCTTGTGTTGTGGGTTCATTGCCCAGCCCCCCTTAGTATCCAATGTTTTCTTGGCTCTTTCAACCAATTATGCATGCTTCCGTCTTGGCACCTATCTCTTTGTTTTGGTGGCGCCTATCCCCCGCCTGTGGTCGACCTGGCGCTCAGCCATCGCTGTTGTAGATCCCTACTATTTGTCTATCTAATTCGTATTGGTACCACACTACCTTGTGCAACTTCTCCGACTATTGCCTTGGCTCTTGTGGGTCTTCTGTGTGCTGATGCGGACACTAGTACGTTTCTCGCCTTGCCTGTCTGGGGCTTTATGAGGTTCATTCGCAAGCTCGTCTGCCGCTACGGAAAGCCACAAGTTTTTTAAGCGAGTTCTCTCCTGACATCCAGTTAAGCAGCTGGTGCAGACTTAATTTCCCTTGAACTTTCATTTTTCTTTGTCATTAAGGTTCAGTGCTTCTCGGGTGGCTATGCTAGTTTCTGGAAGCAAAAGGAAATTCTTCTGGTCGGGTGTCACCGTTGCCTCTTTTCCGTCCCCAGGGTTGTCAATGACGGATTGCGTACAGTCTACCCGGTGTAATGATTGGCGGAAGAGGTCAAATGGCAAGTAGTTCACGAACACCTTACGGAATTCGTGGAACATCTACGCAGATAGCCGAGATTTCGCAGCATGAGTGTGATCTAGAACCCTCCTGGGGGATGATCATTGATTCTATTCGCGACTAGGGCTGATTCGCTACATGAACCCTTAGCATGCCCCAGATTACAAGGAACGACCCTGTTATTAGTGTGACTGCATCAGAAGCTTGGACGACGGGCGTAGACGCTCTTGAAGCGGCGGTTGATGTCACCATTAAAAGTGGTAAAAGGACGCTGTCTCTCAACGCCACGGCTGGGAATACCATGAACGGCGTCTTTGACCCAATCGACAAGATAGAGGCAATTTCTAGGAAGGCAAACGACTGGTTTCATGTTGATGCCTGTTGAGGAGGAACAGCTGCAATTTTTAACAATCCGAGACATCCGAACAAAGGAAGTGAGCTTGCTGACAGTATCGCCTTCACTCCTTCCAAAAATGGAGAGTGTACCACTCGTTTATGCCTTCTGGCTAGTAAACGAACTGTGGACCTTCTGGCTGACCAATAAACTTACGATTGAATACTTGTCCCATGACATGACTGCTGTACATCTGAAACGACACCCGAGCCAGTGGAAATACTTTCGGAAATGACAGAAGTCCTCCAGGCTCTTGGATGAAGCCCCTGCAGTGGCTGATATGTGAGACCAGGTCTCGCTGATGGTACGGGGTTCTCCGCGGCCTGATTCGACCAAGTCATCCCTGCATTGGATTTGCTATGGAACTAAAGATGTCACTTAAAAGGTTTGACAAAGTGTTGACAACTCGCAGTATATGACCATTCTAGTCAAAGATCGTCTATACATAGACTTGTTCCGAGACACCAAGAGCGTCCTCACCCAAGTTTGCTTCGGCTTTTAGTGGAGGCCAAAGGGGAAAAATCTGGGGCTTTTGATGGAGCTCCTAGAGTAGCGCCCACAGCCACAACACATGTATTCTACGAGCTCCTCACTAGGCACGGATGGAAGACGACTACGCGCCGAAGTCAAAGGGGAGTTCATTCGGATCGCATGTAAGCGTTTCACTGCAGGATGAGGAGTTGAAGTATTAGTTTAGTTGTAGGTACGGTTAAGAGAGCCCCGAATTGTAGCATCATCTTTTGTAGAGACAGGAAATAAACCTAAGTACCTCAAAGTGAGATCGGCACACCAATGCCCTGTAGGCTCTGCGGGGAGCTTACCCTTTGCAGCTACTCAAATCACCTACTAGAACAAACATAAGATAGTAATAGTGATGTACAGGCCAAGGATAAACCGGCTTCGGAATGGTTTACTAATTTCATAGTGCTTTATTGACGAATACAATGGACTATTTAATGAATATAGGCACATAGAGATGTTACTGCAGTAGATAATCCACAGGCTATGTATGAGCATGCTGCATGGCTAGTCTTAGGTACGATATCCTTGGCGTTGGTTATCTCGTATACATTGGCTCGAGTCTATGATCAATCTATACAGCTGTTATTTGCCTTTGATTCTTGCCTCGAGGGTTCATGCTTGTTGGTTTAGACACATGAAGAACAGTCTGAATGACCTGATCCGAAGCTTCTATCTTCTAATAAACACCGACAGATTTATAACGAGCTTTTCGCTGCCTTCTTTCCTCGGCCCTCAAAGCTCCAATCAATCTGGGTAGCCATCCTCACCTTCACACCTAGCTCATTAGCGAACGCGCGCACCAAGCCAGGATTTTGTTGGAACCAACGTCCAGCCTGTACTGCATCGATGCCCGACTGCACCACCTCCTCGGCCAGAGTCCCCGTCTTGATTCCACCAACAGCCGATATCAGTAGCTTCTCGCCCACAGCTTTCTTGATTTCTTGAGCGAAATGAACCTGATAGCCCGGGCCGGACCGAATGGCGATTGCGGATTTCGCATGGATACCACCCGAGCTAACATCCACCAGGTCGACGCCATGGTCAGCCAACAGCAGAGCGAGCCGAGTTGACTGAGCAACCGTCCAACTCTCAGGAAACTCTTTCTTCAAGTTATCGTCAAACTCGAACCAATCAGTGGCACTAATCCGGACCAAGAGAGGCATAGTGGTCGGGATAACAGCGCGAACCTCCTCGCAAATTTCTAGAAGTATTCTCACCCTATTTTCAAAGCTACCTCCATACTCATCCGTTCGTCGATTACTAACAGGACTCAAAAACTGGTGCAGAAGATACCCATGTGCGGCGTGAATTTCAATCGCATCAAAATTCGCCTTGACGGCCCTTTTCGCAGCGTCCGCCCAATCTTTCTTCAACAGTTGGATATCCTCCCCGGTCAGAGCTTTAGGAACGGCATTGATACCCTCCTCCTGAGGAATTGCCGATGGCGCAACGATATCATCCGGCCAACCCCCGACCTCCTTAACAGCCATCGCATTGCCGCTCAACCAGGGCGCAACGGCACTGGCCTTGCGACCTGCGTGGGCCAATTGAATGCCAATATTCTGACTTTGGCTGTGGGCAAATTCTGTGATACGCTTTAGGGGCTCGATATGACCATCGTCGTAGAGACCAAGGTCTTGTGGCGTGATGCGACCCACTTTCTGCACGGCCGTGGCCTCCATGATGGCGAGCCCCGGGCCGCGCTGGACGATGCCGCCAATGTGGGTCAAGTGCCAATCATTGGCGTAGCCATCTTTGGCGGAGTACTGGCAGAGCGGTGCGAGGAATAGACGGTTGGGAAAGGTTACCCCGCGGATGGTGAGGGGGCTGAAGAGCTTGGTTGATCCCTCCACTTGCGTGCCTGCTGGGGGCACTTGCGCTGGGGTGTAGTAGGAGATGCCCTCGGCGGCGATGTTGTCGATGATGTCTTGCGCCATGGTTGAATAGAATGCAGTGTGGAGATTGGACAGAGACTGGGATAGGTTATACGGCTGAACCTGTAGACAAGAAGCCTGCATAAGAGTAATATATAGATCCAATGCTGACAAATTGAGAATTAGTAACGTGAAGCATCCACCACCGCAATATTCAACACATGATTGGCGCAGCCCTAGTTCATGTCCGATTCAGGTTGATCGCATCATTAGCTAGAGCCTAGGGGCCAATCAGAGTAACGACAAGGTTAAAATCCATGTTGCTTATTATTTTTCCCTGCCGGCGTCTGATTGCGTGATATTTGTCTGATGTAACTGATTCTGCTTTCTGATAGAATCAGCATTGCTCTCGCCCTGGGTGCCTTGAAAAAGAAAATAACCATCGTACCTGTCAATATTAACCCACTCTCCCCAGACTATCACACCAAGAAAAAACGAGACTCCGTTTAAGCCAGACTCTATTGGTTTGATACATGGCGTAACCGGCATCGAATCCTTGACTTTGCCGATATAACTATTCTTGAATAAGTATACGATATTTTCGAGTTCTCTCATGGAAGGCTCACACTAATGCATGAGGTCTAGTGCTTAATATGAGGGCGAACAGCGATAAGCGCAAAATATACACTCCCTGATATGTGGCCTCACACAAGCATGTTAAGCACTACCCATGCATGTTTGGCTCTTGCGCTTCGAATAGCACTCCTCATAACTGATCTCAACCAATGTTCTGAATGAGGATTAAAAGATTGCTTACAGATATGTAGCCTTGAAGGATTGCCTAATTGGATCACGAGTGAGTGCCGAAGTGTCCCAGAACGTGCTGTCTATCACGCGTGGACCGAGGTCAATACCAGCTATAGGCACAATGAGCATATAGAGATTGCATCTTCTAGGGATCAAGTTCTTCTAGGGATCAAGTCATGCTCATTTTGCGCATCACTCTGAATGCACACATTCTATGCTTACGGAGTGTACGGAGTCACTGTGCTGCCGAGATCCGGAGTGGAATGTGACATTTTGCGATATCTGAATATAGGCTTTGGTTCTAGGATCTAAATAGCCTGGTACGTGATTCTTCATATCTTGTAAACCCAGCTCTCCAAGGAAGTCTCAACGACTGATCATTATCTATATGGAGGTTACAGCTATTTTAAGGGTTTTAAAGAGTGCTTGTCGAATGGATATCTAGGGTATTAGAGGTGAGATTGATTCACTGCAACAAGGGAGAATCTCGAATCTCAAAAATGAAGAATGTATTCACGCCTCATTTTTCCCTCAACAGAATGATTGTTAATTGTCTGCCTTATCAGAATATGTAAGCTAACTATCACTCAACTATATCAGAGTTACCTTATCATAAACCAAGCCTCATTGAAAACACATCTCAGCGCACAATCATCTGGTTACCCTCGAGATATGCCTTCAAATCACAAACGGTCGGAGTTTCCAGGAAGAAAGAG